GAACTCACAGAGATCCGCCTGCCTCTGCCTCCCGAGTGCTGGGATTAAAGGCGTGTGCCACCACCGCCTGGCAGAGGGTTTATTTTAATGTAGGGTACGAGAGGATTCATTACATCATCTCCATACTTCTTAGGCAAAGGACCTCCTAAGTCACCTTCCAAACGGCCAATCTCCCCCCAAAAGTTCTGTTTTGGAAGCGGTCACTTCCGCCGCTACTAAAGGAGTCCAGACCCTCCCTCCCTCTTAGGACACGAGCGGCCCAGGCTAGACGACGAGGACGACGAGGAGGAGGAGACCGGAAGTCATGGTTTCTTACTTTTCCAGCTACTTCATACGCTAGGCAGGCCGGTGGACATGAATGCGCTCAGAAACCTCTCAGAAACCGCCACGCTCCCGAGCGGAGGCCCGGCTCCTCACGCACTGGAGGCGTGCGTGGGAGGCGTGCGTGGGAGGCGTGCGTGGGTGCGTGGGCGCTCGAGCGCCAACGGCCCCTCACCAGTGCTCCCCCCAAGGTGGGGGGGGGGCTGGCCCACAATCCCTCGCGAGGGCCGGAGAAGCCAGGAGGAAGCAAGAGCCGGGGCCCAGCTAGCAAGAGCCAAGGGCTCTCTATTCCTGGGGTGCGGGGCACACAAGGAGCCTCCCCCAGCACGTCTCGAGGGTATCCCCGCGGGAAACTGGCGGCTGAGCAGGGTTCAGGTGCTGCTGCTTCGGCTACTTCCACCTAGGGAGATGATTTCTTTTTTCTTTTCTTTTTGGTTTTTCTAGACAGGGATTCTCTATGTAGCTTTGCGCCTTTCCTGGATCTTACTCTGTAGCCCAGGCTGGCCTTGAACTCACAGAGATCCACCTGCCTCTGCCTCCCGGGTCCTGGGATTAAAGGCGTGCGCCACCGCCGCCCGGCGGGAGATGATTTCTACCAAAGACTCGAGGAACCCATGAAACAGGCCAGAGCGAGGGCAAGAAACTACCGGGCCTCGCATTTCCAGCCTCGCCTTTTCACTGTCAAGCTCTACCCTCGCAAAGGGACCCGCCCCCCCCCCCCAAAGCGCTTCGGCTGAGCCACATTGGAAGACCACGCCGCAGCGTGGACACTTGTGATATTTCCCCAGCAGCCAGCCCGGCCTCGTGCGGCTAGGCTGCGCGAGCCCCGCCCCTTCCGCTGTGCGCATGACGTCACGCGGCGTGGCCCGGGCCGGGCGGGGTTTGGGCCGCCGGGGCTTTCGCGCCTCTCGCGCTACGTCACTGGGCGCGCGGGCGCCGCGCTTTCAAAAATGCAGCGGGAGTTAGTGGGTTTCCCGCTGTCGCCCGCGGTGCGGGGGAAGCTGGTGGCGGCAGGTTTCCAGACTGCCGAGGACATCCTGGAGGTGAAGCCCTCCGAGCTCAGCAAAGGTAACGGCTCCCCGCGGCCAGCTGATGCCCCCGCGGCCGCTTGGCTCCGCCCCCATCTTCGTTTTCCCGCCACCGCGCTCACGACGTAAAGCCGCGCTTTGACTCCGCCTCCTAAACTATGTTGTGGTTGGAGCTGTGTGGAAAAACGTTGATTGCTTTCTGTGTACCCGCGCCTCCTGGGTGCTTTGAGGACTGCTTCACTTCTGCTCAAAGGGAGTCTCTTGGACCCGGGTGTCTAATCTATAGATAAAGGAACCAGTATTTCATCTTGAGGTTTCATGATAACTGAGTTGGGTAGTAGTGGCTCTAGAATTGGAAAACAGACAAACCGTGTAGTTGTCGCTGTTCCAAGTTCCTGGGTGGGGGGTGGAAATTGAATTCGAGAAATAAAGCTTTAGAGTACGACTGGAGACACTTGGGGTTGGGGATTTAGCTCAGTGGTAAAGCAAGGCCCTGGGTTCGGTCCTCAGCTCTGAAAAAAAAAAAAAAAAAGAGAAAAAAGAGACACTTAAGTGATAAAAGGAATAACCCATTCCCTTAGACCAGGAGAAAGCCCTAGACAGACGACGACCTTCATAATGCACGGAATACTCCAAACATTTTTCTCAGAGCTCTTCAGATTACTTAGAAGTGGGAATCACTGCATCCTTAATGTACACGAAAGTAAAGCTGGCTGTGGTCATCCGCTGTGCCGCTAATGCTATGCACACAGCTCTTGGCTGTTCACCAAAGAGGGCAGAAAGGAACCTGGTTGGGTTTTTGTATTTTTCTTTTAAAGTGTTCGGTATTGAACTCAGGGCTTTACAAATGCTAGTTAAGTACTCTTCCACAGAGCCACACCCCAGTAATAATTTTGAGTTTTAGTAGCAGGAATGATGCTAACAGGGCAGTAGCTGAGAAGTAGAAAGAGCGCTAACTAGCCCCTCATCGTGCCCAAGGCTCTGGTTTTGAGCCCCAGCCACTAAATAAACATTGACATTAACGCCTGATAATTCATGACTGAGTTAGACCTATGTTTGGTTGCTTTTGAGACAGGCTTCTCTGTGTAGTCCTGGCTGTCCAGGAGTTTGCTCCTAGACCAGGCTGGCCTGTCTAGTAGTGCTTGGATAAAGGTGTGGGCCACCACATTCGGCTGAGTTAGACTTTTAAATCTCTAATGTTAGGGTTTTTTTTTTTTTTTTCTGATTTTATTTTCAGAAGTTGGGATATCTAAAGAGGAAGCTTTAGAAACTCTGCAAATTGTAAGAAGAGAATGTCTCACAGATCAACCAAGATGTGCTGGGACCTCTGTGGCAGACAGGAAGTGCACAGCACTGGAACTTCTTGAGCAGGAGCACACCCAAGGCTTCATAATCACCTTCTGTTCGGCACTAGACAGCGTTCTTGGGGGTGGAATACCCCTAATGAAAACGACAGAAGTCTGTGGTGTGCCAGGTGTTGGAAAAACACAGTTATGGTAAAATAAGGATGTTCCCTACTTAAGGGTAGACTTAGTATTTTATGTAACTAATAGTCTATTGTGCTGTGAGCTTGTAGTCAGGATACTAAAAAGGATATGTTACTACTTCATGCATCAAACAATTAGCTTATCGTTCATATTATCTCAGTACCCCATCTTGGTAAATGGATAGAATGGTTTTGAAATAAAAAATATTTCTTTTGTAATATAATGTGGTCACTAGAGTAAGCAGATATTCTCCTAGTTAGTTGGCTCCTGAAATATATTTGTCAAATGTTTAAAAGTTGATTTATATATGATAAAGAATTCTGAACCAGGCTTGGTGACATACTCCTATAATCTTATCACTCAGGATACTGAAGCAGGATTGCTGTAAGTTGGAGGACAGTATGGACTATATAACAATTGTTAGACCAGCCAGAGATACATAGCAAGACCCTGTCTCAAAAAAAAAGTATGTGGGGCTCAGAGGTTAAGAGCATTAACTGCTCTTCTAGAGGTCTTGAGTTCAATTCCCAGCACCCACATGGTGGCTCACAACCATCTGTAATGAGATCTGGTGTCCTATTCTGGCCTGCAGGGATACATGCAGACAGAACACTGTATACATATAAATAAATCTTCAAAAAAAAAAAGTATGTCTACCTGGGTGTGGTGGCACACTCCTGTAAACACAGCAGTACGCCTGAGGATGGAGACCGAAATAGAAGGATTGAGAGTTGAAGGCTCATCCTGGGCTACATTTCCAGACCCTGACTCAAAAGGGAGAAAATATAAAGCATTCAGTTCCTTGAAACCTAAAAACCACTAAGAGTTCCTTAATCATAATTTTGTGCAACACCTTAACTATAATCTAGGCATGTATTGATTCATATGTATTTGGAGCTATGGAGAGTCAGCCATCTCTTTTGCCTTGGGGTACTATGTTTGTATTTAGAAAACTTTTGATGGTCTAGCTGATGATTATATGTGGTTTACAAAAGACATTTTAGATGGTTGTGATAATGATTTGGTCATGTGACTGATTTCTTGACAGTATGCAGTTGGCAGTGGATGTGCAGATTCCAGAATGTTTTGGAGGAATAGCAGGTGAAGCAGTATTTATTGACACAGAGGGGAGTTTTATGATTGATAGAGTGGTGACCCTTGCAACTGCCTGCATTCAGCACCTTCATCTTATAGCAGGAGCACACATGGACGAAGGTAAGTCAGCACGCGGTACTCCTATACAAGAAAGACCATTTGTATTTGTGCCCATCTCAGACCTCAGTAAGAGATTGTCCCAAACTTGAAGCTTATGACAAGTTAAACTTTTGTTGCAAAATGATATACAGTATGCTTTCTGTAACCTAGCTATCTGATCCTTTAGCCTCAATCTCCAAAATACTCCTGGAACGACATCTGTGTCATACCCAGCTTAGCAGCCATTACTTTTTTTGAGTTTTAATTTTGTGTGTGTGTGGTTTTTCAAGAAGGGGGTTCTCTGTGTGACAGTACTGGCTATCCTGGTACTCTGTAGACCAGGTTGGCCTCGAACTCACAAACATCCACCTGCCAAGCCTCCACACCCAGCACAGTTCACATTCTTAACCACTGAGCCACCTGTCCAGCACACAGTCACACTAGTTACTTTTATAAATAACTGCAAAGGTAGGAACTTTGGCCAGTGTGATGGCTCAGCAGGTAAGGTGCTTGTCACCAAGCAGATAATGTGAATCTGATCCCTAGAACCGATGTGGTAGAAAGAGAACTCCTGGAAGTTGTCCTCTGACATCCACAGATGCACTGTGGCATTTGCATAAGCATGCATACATCCAGTTCATTCAAAGCAAAACAAATTCTATTCTCTTGTTAGAAGATGTCTTTTCAGTAGAGGCCCCGGAAAGGTAGAAGACAAAATCTTCTGTTTAAGATGTCTTACTCTGTCACAATCTATACTTGAATAAATACCTTAAAATCTTGCTGTATGTGCAGTAGATGTACTGAGGCACTGGGATGTGAAGTTTTTAATGATTAGCGTATGATTATAGCTAAAGTTTTTTTGCTAACTTAGTGTATATTGGAAGAAGCTAGAGTTTACTAACCTGGAATCTAGTTCCCAGGATATCTTGGTACTGCTATGTGCCTGAGGCTGACCTTGAACTGGAGCTTCCTGCCTCCTTTCCCCACCTGCTGGGATTACAGGTGTGAGCTACTTATTTCTTTGGTCTTTTGTTTTGTTTTACCTTTTCCTGTTTTTTGTTTTGTTGTTTATTTTTGCAGTGTTGGGCTAGTTAAACCTAGAGCCATGGAAATGTTAGTCAAGCACTCTCTCACTGAGCCTCATTTCAGCCCCTGTTCTCTGTGTGAATCTCTGTGTTCTCTGTGTGAATCTGGGCCTGACCCAGGGCCTTGCACCTCCAACTCTGGCCCCCTGTTGGTTTTGTTTTACAATGTTAAAGCATAAATACATTTTTATTGGGCTTTTTGAGACAGGATCTTACTCTGTAACCCAAACTGGCTTCCAACTCACTGTATAGCTTGGGCTGGTCTGAAACTCACAAGTTAAAGAGTTTCTGACATTTATTGAGCTGGAGAAATGGCTCAGTGGTTAAAAGTACTGCCTGCTCTTCCAGAGGACCCGAGTTCATTTCCCAGCAACCATATGGCAGCTCACAACCAACTATAATGGGATCAGTGACCTCTTCTGGTGTGCAGACATAGATGCAGACAAAGCACCATATACATACATACATACATACATACATACATACATACATCTTTAAAAAATGCTGTCATTGTATTTAGTGTGTATGCATATGTGTGGAGATAGAGGAAAACTTGAATTGTTTTCTCCTTCCACTGTGTGAGTCCTAGTGATTGAACTCAGGTTATCATCTTGTCAGTCATGAAATACATCACAGGGCCTGAAAAGAGAGTTTCTTTCCTTAAATGAATTCTTTAAATTCCTCTTGCAGAGGACCTAGGTTTGGTTCCCAGGACCCTCGTGGCAGCTTACAACTGTCCATAGCTTCAGTTCCAAGGGGTCCAATGCTGCCTTCTGGTCTCTGTGGGTATAAGGTACACACAAGGTGCACTTACTTACTGGCAAAACATCTAATCACATTAAAATATTTTTTGAAAAATACATTTTAAAATGCAATAACTAGTTTCTCACTTTATTTTCTTTTATGTTTTTGGGTGTTTTGCCTGAATGCAGGTATATACTGTGTGAGTATAGTACCTTTGGAGGCCAGAAGAGGGTATCAGATCTCTTCAGACGAGAGTTACAGTCTGTCATGAGCTGCTATGTAGGTTCTAGGAATCAAACCCTGGTTGCTCTAGAAGAGTAGCCAGTATTGTTAACTACTGAGCTGTCTTTCTTTTTCCTTTTTCTTTTTTTAAAGATTTATTATTTATACAGTATTCTGCCTGCATGTGTCCCTGAAGGCCAGAAGAGGGCACCAGATCTCATTACAAGTGGTTGTGAGCCACCATGTGGATACTGGGAAGTGAACTCAGGACCTCTGGAAGAGCAGTCAGTGCTCTTAACCACTGAGCCATCTCTCCAGCCCTGAACTAGCTTTCTGAGCACTCTTCCCCCTTTTATTTTTTGAGATATGGTCTCCATATAACTGGCTGTCCCAGAACTTTCTCTTTAGACCAAGGTGGTCTTGAACTCTAAACCATACTGACTTTGTAAGCCAGTGTTAAGATTTCATGTTGTTACTACTTCAAGATCAACTTACAGTATAAAGGAAAATATATTCCATTGGAACATTTTTCCTTTGAATTCTTTTGTGTTTCTTTTCTTTGTTTTGTTTTTTTTTCAAGACAGGGTTTCTCTATGTAGCCCTGGCTGTCCTTGAACTCACTTTATAAATCAAATTGGCCTTGAACTCAGAGATCTGCCTGTCTTTGCCTCTAGAGTGCTAGGAGTAAAATCATGAACCACACCCCCAAATGTTGTTTTTTCTCTTTTGGGGGACCCACCACCCAACTCCCAAATAAATCACACAGGGAGGCTTATTCTTATTTTTAAATGCCCGGCCTTAGCTTGGTTTCTAGCCAACTTCCCTAACTTTAAATTATCCCATCTATCTTTTGCCTCTGGACTTTCATCTTTCTCTATTCCTGTATACTTTTCTTTGTTTCTTACTCTGTGACTTGCTGTGTAGCTGGGTGACTGTCCCCTGGAGTCCTCCTCCTTCTCTGGCTGCTACTTCTCCCGCTCCCAGATTTTTCCTTCTATTTATTCTCTCTGCCTGTCAGCCCTGCCTATCCTTTCTCCTGCCTTGCTCTTGGCCATTCCACTCTTTATTAGACCATTAGGTGTTTTAGACAGGCAAAGTAACACAGCTTCACAGAGTTCAACAAATGCAACATAAACAAAAGTAACACACCTTAAAATAATATTCGCTGACACCCTAACCCCTGGCTTTTCCTTTGAATTTTTTTTTTTAATTGCCTGCATGTATGTCTGTGTGAGGGTATCAGACAGTTGTTAGCTGCCACCTGGGTGCTGGGAATTGAACCTAGGTCCTCTGGAAGAACAGTCAGTGCTGTTAACCACCATCTCACCAGCTCCTCCTTTGAATTCTGAATTTGTATTCTTCAAAAACAAGAAAGAGAAGCTTCAGTTGTGATACTTCTGTTCAGTGGAAAGCAATAACTGGAGATACGAAAAGATAAACAGAATTTAATTTTATTTGTGAGTAAACAGTCCCTAGTACGTTATACATAAAATCAAAGATGATAAAATGAGTTGTGTATTGAAATGAGAAACTAATTATTGCATTTTAAAATATTTTATTAAAAATATTTTAATGTGATTGGGTGTTTTGTTTGCATCAAAGTGCACCATGCCTGTGCCTGATGCTCATTGAGGCCAGAAGGCGGCATTGGACCCCCTGGAACTGGAGCTATGGACAGTTGTAAGCTGCTATGAGCGTGCTGGGAACCAAACCTGGGTCCTCTGCAAGAGCTCTTAATGAAACAGTGGAAAACATAAAACAATAGGTCACAGTGATTTTTTTTTTTTTTTTTTGGTTGTTCTGGTATCTCCTAGAAAATTATGCTGTTTTTCAAGGATACAAAGCTGATCTATGATTGTCAGATTATTAGAAAAAGAAAAACAGAACTTTTAAGATTGCTTTGTTTTTGTTTCAGACCATCAGAAAGCCTTGGAGGATTTCACTCTTGAAAATATTCTTTCCCATATTTACTATTTCCGTTGTCATGATTACACTGAGCTGCTGGCTCAAGTCTATCTCCTTCCAGATTTCCTTTCAGAGCATTCAAAGGTATGGATCGGGGTACTGAAACAGTGTCTTTGACAATGTTGATAATGCAAAAATAAACAGCAGGGTAGTATAAACTTGATGCCAGTTCAAAAGTCCTTCTGTACCCACTCTACAACTTATTTATTATACTCTACTTATTTTGCATATATATATACCTTTCAGAATATATATTCTTGTGTATAGGTTTTGTGGGGTTTCTTTTGTTTGTTTGGATTTTTTGGGTTTTTTTTGAGACAAAGTTTCTCTTTGTATCCTTGGCTGTCCTGGAACTCACTTTGTAGAACAGTCTGGCCTTGAGATTGACCTGCCTCTGCCTCTGGTGTGCTGAGATTAAAGGTATGGGTCACCCTACCCAGCTGACCTTGAATTCTAATCATTCTGTCTTCACTCAAGTGCTGGAATACAGGCTTTTGTTACCATATTCAGCCTGTTTTATTTAATTATTATTATTAAATTTTTTATTATTTATTTATTTTTCCAAGACAAGTTTTTTTTTGTGTAGCCCTGGCTGTCTTGGAACTTGTACTGTAGACCAGGATTACCTCAAACTCAGAGATTCGCCTGCCTCTGACTTCGAGTGCTGAGATTAAAGGTGTGTGCCACCATACCTGGCATTTGTTCTGTTGTGTTTTTTTTTTTTATTTCAATTGGTTTACCTCTCCTTACTCACTCTGTCTGTCTGTCTATCTATCTATATATCTATATAATCTGTATGTATCTCTGTCTATCTAATGTATGTGTGTATGTGTAGCAGGAATCTTAGAAGGTCTTATTAATAAAAACAAATCTGGGGGGCTGGAGAGATGGCTCAGAGGTTAAGAGCACTGCTTGCTCTTCCAAAGGTCCTGAGTTCAATTCCCAGCAACCACATGGTGGCTCACAACCATCTGTAATGAGATCTGGTGCCTACTTCTGGCCTGCAGACAGAACACTATATACATAATAAATAAACCTTAAAAAACAAAACAAACAAACAAACAAAAACCAAATCTGGGCTGGGTATTGGGGTGAATGCTGGAACATCAGAGAGGCAGAACAAGCCACAGCCACTTCACCTTGCCAATTCCTCAGCTGATCCTGTTTTCTCAGACTGGAAGCTTCTGTGTCCTCATCCGAATGTCTCTCAACTGAACTACTGCTAAAAGCCTAAAAGCTTAGCCAGCTCTAGGTCCTGGTCCTCACGCCTTATATACCTTTCTGCTTTCTGCCATCACTTCCTGGGATTAAAGGCTCTTGTTACCAAGCCTGGAAGTTTCCAGTGTGGCCTTGAACTCAGAGATCCAGGTGGATTTCTGCCTCTGGAATGCTAGGATTAAAGGTGTGAGTGCCACCATTTTCTGGCTTCTATGTCTAGTGGCAGTTCTGTTCTCTGACTCCAGATAAATTTATTAGAGTGCACAATATTTTGGGGAACACAATATCACCACATATATGTATATATGTATCTATCTATTTATTCTATCTATCTCTTTATCTATTCAATCTGTTTGTCTTTTTGCTGGGACTCAAATTAGAGTCTAGTCCATGCTAGGCAAGTGTTCTACCACAGATTCTCAGCTACTATTAGATTGTTTTGGTTACTATAGCTTTTTAGTACATTTTCAAATTAGGAAACCTGAGTCCTTTAACTTTGTTCTTTTTCAAGATTATTGTGGCTGTTTAGGCTCTCTTGCAATTAGTTTTCTGTTGCTGTGCTGAAACACCAGCAACTCAAGGAAGGAAGAGTTTACCTAAGCTTTTGGTTGCAGAGCGTTAAGAGTTAAGAGTTAATGGGCTGGAGAGATGGCTCAGAGGTTCAGAGCATTGACTGCTTTTCCAGAGGTCCTGAGTTCAATTCTCAGCAACCACATGATGGCTCACAACCATCTATAATGAGATCTGGTGCCCTCTTCTGACGTGACATGCAGACAGAACATTGTATACATAATAAATAAATAAAATAAATCTAAAAAAAAAAAAGAGTTAAGAGTTAATTGAACCACAAGCAAGAAGCAGAGAGAAGGAACTGGAAATGGCACATGGCTTTGAAACCTCAAAACTTGTTCTCAGTGATGTACTTCTTTGAGCAAAGCTACACCTCCTACACCTCCTCGCCAAACAGCACCACCAACTGGGAACCAAGTATTCAGATACTAGACTTTATGGGGACATTCATTCAAACCCACCGTACCATATCAACTTTTTAAATTTTTTTATTTGTGTATATATGGGCATTTTGCTTGCATGTGTGTCTGTGCACCATATGTGTTCAGTGGACACACAGGCCTGAAAGAGGGCATTGATTTCCTGGAACTGGAGTTACGGAAGGTTGTACACTGCCGTGTGGGTGCTGAGAATTGAACCTGGGTCCTCCTAACTGCTGAGCCATCACACAGCAACAGAAATGAAACTAGAACCATGCATGTGCATGTCATATAGTATTCAGGTAGCCCACGCCTTTGATCCCAGCACTTGGGAGGCAGAGCCAGGGGGATCTCTGTGAGTTCGAGGTCAGCCTGCTCTACAAAGCAAGATCCAGGACAGGCACCAAAACTACACAGAGAAACTCTGTCTCAAAAAATGTGTGTGTTTGTGTGTGTTTGTGCGTGCGTGCGTGCGCACTTGTGTATTCTGGTAATAATTAGTGTAGGATCATTAGGTGAATACTTTCCAAAAGAAAGAAAGCCTTTGAAGGCTGGAGAGATGGTTCAACAGTTAACACTGGCTGCACTTCAGAGGACCTGGGTTGGATTTCCAACACCCACATAGTGGCTCACAACCATCTATAAATTTGGTTCTAGGGGATCTCTTGCCCTCTTCTGACCTTCACAGCCACCAGACACAAGCATGGTACACAGACATACATGGAGGCAAAACCCTAATACACATAAAATAATAAAGTGAATTTTAAAAGGAAACCTTTGAAGAGTTAGAAATAAGCCCGAGGGTGAGGAATATAGCTCAGTAGTAGAATGCTTACCATGTATGTGCTACAGCTTTAACTCCAACATTATAAAAGAAAAGAAAATTCTAATACTCATTTTTATTTAATTAGAGATAGAGTCTCACTGTATAGCCCAGACTGGCCTGAAATTCATGACCCTCTTACCTTTACTTCTTTTGTGCTGAGATTATAGGTATATACCACCATGTTCTTATTTTTAATTATGCAAGTGACTGGAGACCAGAGGAAGGCATTGGGATCCCCTAGACAACTGGAGTTACAGGAAGCTGTGAACTGCTTGACATGGGTACTAGGAACTGAACTTGGGTTTTCTGAACCATCTCTCCAGCTTTATCAAAAATGCCCAGCTAGCTAGAATTCTTTTTTCTTTTCTTTCTTTCTTTTTTTTGGTTTTTCGAGACAGGGTTTCTCTGTGTAGCTTTGCGCCTTTCCTGGAACTCACTTGGTAGCCCAGGCTGGCCTCGAACTCACAGAGATCCGCCTGCCTCTGCCTCCTGAGTGCTGGGATTAAAGGCATGGGCCACCACCGCCCGGCTCTTTTCTTTCTTTTTAAAGAAATTTTTTTATTTCTTTATTTGTTTTGTTTTGTTTTGTTTTTTGAGACAGAATTTCTCTATTTAACATACCTGCCTCTGCCTCCCAGAGTGCTGGGATTAAAGTTGCCACAGTACCCTACTCGATGTCTTTCTTTCTTTCTTTCTTTCTTTTTTTTTTTTTTTTTTTTTTCCTCGAGACAGGGTTTCTCTGTGTAGCTTTGCGCCTTTCCTAGAACTTGCTTTGGAGACTAGGCTGGCCTCGAACTCACAGAGATCTGCCTGCCTCTGCCTCTGCCTCCCAGAGTGCTGGGATTAAAGGCGTGCACCACCACCGCCTGACGATGTCTTTCTTTTTTAAGCCCTTGATTTTAAGATTTAAATCTGTAATGGAATATGCTTTTGGGATGCCATTTTTATTATTGTAATTCTAACTCAGAACCTGATTTCATTCTCCTGTGTTTAGGTGCGGTTGGTGATCATAGATGGTATTGCTTTTCCTTTTCGTCATGACCTTGATGATCTGTCCCTTCGTACTCGACTACTAAATGGCCTAGCCCAACAAATGATCAGCCTTGCAAATAATCACAGGTTAGCTGTAAGTATTATTAATCAGAAGAATTTTATAGTTAGGCTTGTATGAAATATTAATGTCTATCTCGGCAGTGGTAGTGTGCATACATTCCCAGCACTGGGGCAGCAGACGCAGGTGGATCTCTGAGTTCCAGGTTAGCCTGGTCTACAGAGTGAGTTCCAGGACAGCTAGGGCTACACAGAGAAACCCTGTCTCAAAAAAACAAAACAAAACAAAAATTAATGTCTAAATTTATACATATTTTGCATGAGTAAAGATAAATAACATGAACATGGTTTTGGGGGTTTGTGGTTGTTATTGTTGCTTGTTGGAAACAACCTTGATAAATAGTCTGAAATGTGATATGTAGTCTGTCCCTCCTTGAACTCTTTATCCTCCTGAATACTGACATTACAGACATTTGTTATTATACAGTGCTTTTAATGGAGATTTTTTTTTGTTTTTTTGTTTTTTATAATAACAGTCGTTAGACCCAGAGCCTCAAGCATAGTAGGCAAGTGTTCTTTAGAGCGACTACCTAGGCCCTAGAGCCGTTAGATGAGACATGTGAAGGGAGAAGTACAATGAGCCAAGGGGTGCAGGGTTACCAGTGATGTCCACTCTGCAGCCACATCCTCCCACTGACAAAATGCTTGCAGGAGAGAGGTGGGAGAGAAAATGCTTTGACTTACTGTTCTTACCTTTTTAGGGAGTTGTTAGCACATGCCTGTAGTACACCAAACGCAAATAAAGAACTTTCTCTATAAAATTTAAAACATACACATTTTCTAGGCTGTACATATACACAATGGAGTACTACTCAGCAGAGAAAAACAATGACAGCCTGAAATTTGCAGGCAAATGGATAGAACTAGAAAATATCATCCTGAGTGGGGTAACCCAAACCCAGAAGGACAAACATGGTATGTACTCACTCATAAGTGGATACTAGATATATAGCAAAGGATAATCAGACTGCAACCCACAGAACCAGGGAGGCGACAAAGCAGGGGGACCCTAGGATGACTGTGGCTTATAATATGTTTTGGTTTTACTCAATCACTGGGCAAGACTCAGTGAAACATTTCACTATTAGGATAAGAATTTGTGCCGGGCATGGTGGCACACGCCTTTAATCCCAGCACTCGGGAGGCAGAGCCAGGCGGATCTCTGTGAGTTC